GGGACTTGTTCGAGTGGTGCTTGGCGGCCGCGAGAACCTAGACACACGTGTGCGTCCGAGTGGAAGTAGATCAAGTCTCTGCAGGTCAGCGCGACTGGAAGCGCTGACTGAGGTATTGGATGACCTTGAGCCAGCTGGCGTTGAACAATGACGCCGAACAAGGCAATAGAGAAGGTGGGACGGCAGAGACCGCTACAAATTTTTAGAGGACCCTCGATTCGTCGCACCAGAACAGCTCCTATTGCATGCCCGGACATGCAGGAGTTGCCTCTTTCCATACAATTGCCTCCTTCATCAATGATGCAGTGAGTCACGCAGGCGACTCCAAATACTTGGTCTCATCACCGGCAGTCACAACAATATGATGTACACCAAACACTCGCATGACTGTCTGCTCATCTCGCTGTTTGTGTCCTCAAACACCTCGCACTTTTCATTTTGTCTGACGACTGGTTGGTGTTTGAAAATATACTCATAAATCTCTCTTTGCCGACGAGCCTCCTCCTTTCATAAATGAGTTTATTTGTCATGGAGACTTTATGCAAGAAAACCTATGGCTTACGCCCTCCCACCATAAATCCCATGCTTAAGTCTCTGCGGTCTTCCGTACTTGACTATCGGCATTCCGGGATGACCCGGTCAGCGATCGAATCAGCCGAACCTGGCAGCTGTAGTCCACGCGGCCCCTAAACGTTCTCCCTAGGTTCGACCCGCAGCGGACTGTGTACGATTTGGGTGGATATTTCTGTTTTTTCAACTCTGCGATCAGCAAGAAAGTATCAGACCGCGTCTTCCGCAATTCGGTGATGATCCCGATGACCTCTGCGATTCCTCCCCCATTGGACCCTCCCCCCAAGAGCAGTTTTTTCTCCTAAAAATCCCTCCCCCATTAGATCTTCTCCCCAAGAGCGACAGTTTTTTCTCCTTAAGAATTCCAATGACTTTTTTCACTGTCCGCTCTTTTTTAAAACTCTGTCCCCCCTCATGGTTCATGTCAGTTGGCCTCACCAACAAACTGAGATACTATTTTCTGATACCAAAACACACGTGTACAAATAGGGAACTCAAAGGCAAACCACTTACATCTCCCTCAGATATACTGATGCTGATAGTGACTGCCTGATGTCGGTCTTATCCTCTTTCTGGTTCTGATGACCATCCGGGTCATTAAACGGTCGAAAGTGCTTAAAACTGTTACTGGCGTCTTCTGTTCTACTGAAAAGTTATTTCCACGTCCGTTTAGTGAGCTTCTCTAAAAGTCCAGCCCCATTACAAACCTAAGCGTCCTCTAAAATTTAAGCGTACGATCACAATGCTAGTTCTAAGCATTAGGCCCCTCCTTGGCACTGACTTCCTAAACCATTGTGTAGATGAAGGTCGAATTCATTTTTATTCGTTCTATATATGTTCGGACTGAGCATCGATAGATGCCACAACGATCCTTCTCGTTTGTTATTGCTTTGCTGGGAGGAAATACGCAGCAGTTCAGGTAAGTACGCAATTTCCGCCCAAGGTTGGCAAGCTGTTGCTTAACGTTACACGAGTTTCGTTTAGGGCCGTTTCTTGTAAAGAGCACCTCCAGGTGGCATGGTGCCTTCTGACGCGAGATGAAGATTCGGCCAGGATATCCCCTTTACAGCTGGAAAGCCAAGTTACCTTCGAAGTCACTGGGGCTAAAACATAAAGCATTGAAATAATATTTGACTTCACCTATCGCATGAGCATAGGGCAACATTAGTATCCGATTCCTTCTACATGGCGGTCAACGACCGGGGTGCGTTTATGAAAAGGCGCGTATAAAGTGACGTCGATGACCACAAGTTACCAAGTAGGGTAACATTTTGCACACTATTAAGCATAAAGGGCTACTTGGGTAAGCAACATGATTTCAAACCACGTACTAAAGACCGCTGGCTTTTTGTCGATAGTTTTACAGGATACCCACGAAGACAACTCGGAAACACAACGCGGCCTATGTCTGCTTCTCCTATACTTCCCAAACAAATAAGATCCGTTCTTTTAGAAAAGCTTGCCCTACTACTGTAATTTAGGGTTATTTAGTGGGATGTTAGGCCTTTGGATACGTGATCGTCAAGGGAGAGTGCAAGTCGGGTTCCAAAACCTCAGAAAGACGGGAGGTCTCCGTGGCACAAGGGTGGCATTTCCCACCTGATCTGCTCTACTAGTTTGAAGATATAAACGTCAAGTTGTCTTGGAACATAACCCCCTAGGCCTAGATCAGAAGAAAGTACTGTATTACGGAGCATGTATTCGCCAAATGGTAACAATTTAACGGAATTATCGAGGTATAATCTGGACCTCCGAGAGAAG